GAAACCTGTCCACCATGGGTGAACCTGATGGCATTTAAAATATTGGTTGCATAGCTTTCAGAATCACAGTAACTCAGAAGCCACCACAGTACGACAAACTGACAGATGAGTGGTGGTATTGTGAGCCTATTGCACAGTGAATACTCAATTATGAGGATCTGAATTTTACAGATTTGTATATTGAGTCCTGGTGTGGTGCTGTGGATAAATGCACCAGACTGCAAAATGTTTAAACTGTAAAGTTGAAGATTTGAGCTCACCAACTGCTCCTCGAAAACCCTATACAGGTTTGCTATGTGTCGGAACTGACTTGACAGCACTTAACAACAACATACTAAGGCTTGGAGAGACCAGAGATAGCAAATTAGAGTTGACTTCATGTGAAGGTGTGAGAGTACCCAGGGAGTTGGGGCAAAAAAGGTGGCAGGGAGGACATTTGAAGGGCTTTGGGCAATGGTCATTTACCAACCAGTTTGGCACTGTTTCAGTAGCTGTGCATGCCTGCTAAACATTACCCCTTGACTTCTAATACCCCTCCAAGAGACAGCCACTGTTAACAATTATTTTGGGTATCTTTCTAGAAATATTCTACAAATATAGAATGTTCTATGAATATATGTGAAGTATGCTCTTCCATAATAACTATATATATATATTCGATATTTCCCTATCAGCAAAGCCAGATCTACCACATGTCCTACAGCCTTGTTATAAGTTGGAATTGACCCAATGGTAGTTTTTTTTTTTATGCCCTTATTTGTGTAAACGCTTTTAAGGATTATATGTATATATGATCTTTACACAAATTTACACAAACATATGTATAGAGTATATTTTATATATGTTCATAGAAATTATATATGCAATTTATAAAGCAGGTGCTGTAGGATAAGCACTGGAGTGCTAGTCACAAGGCCAGTGGTTCAAACCCACCAGTTACTCCTTAGAAACCCAATACAGGGTCATCACGAGTCCTGACTTGATGGCACTAAACAACATATATATCATTGTGCAGTGAGTTAAGCATAGTGCTAACCCAAAGGTAGTAAGTTCAAACTCACCAGTCACTCCATGAGAGAAAGGTGAGACAATCTGCTTCCATAGATTTTGAAACCCGATAGAACAATTCTTCTATTTCTGTGCTGTAGGGTCACTATGAGTCAGAATCGACTAGACAGCAGTGGGTTTTTGTTTTTTGGTATATATATATGTGTTGCTAGGAGTCTGAATTGAGTTGATGACATATAACAGTTATATATATATATACATATATAATTTTCATACTTCCATATCACAATGACTTCATGTTTTATTGTATGAATCTAAGCACTTGGGATTTTTTTAAAAAAAGTTTCTTTTTCCTTTTCTACATATATCCAAAAAGATTTTACCTGAGAGACAGTAGCCAGAATGTGCCAACTGGTGATACCAAAGTCACCAGTGAGGACGCTGAGTTTTCAAAGAGGTCACAGTATTAATTACCAGCAGAAGGGAATTCT